CTTTAATTCTGAGAACTATATTTAAATAAGACTTAGGAAAAGAATACAAACACCTAGCTAAATAGTGGTGTAGAAATGTAACGTTCTTTCATAAATGATGGTTATTAAAAGCTCTGTGCGCTCAGTTTGGAAGTAAATCTAAGAGCCCAGACGAGTTGCATACTTCTTGCTGAAGCAGGAGGTTTTCCTCTGAGAGTACAAAGAAAGGGAGAGAGGGGGAACCTTCAATTAAAGTCGTAGGTAAAGGTGAGGTGAAGGGGCAAGAGAAGGCTTGTCCAGCAGCTCCTGTGATGGCACACGCAGGGGTGTTTCTTCAGAGGCGAGTGGCTCTTCCAGGGCTGGGAGAAGCCGATGGCTTTGGAGAAGCTCTGATGTAGCAATTGAGGCAGTAATCTCTCCAGAACAGCCTTCGCACAAAGGATGCCTTGATAGGAGTCTCAGGATGTAGTTCCTGAGCCACTAATAACGGAGGCATTTCCTGCCCCGAGAGCTGCAATACAAATGTAATAACGTGCAAAACCAAACACAATAAAACAAATAGATGACAAGTTCTTAAGGAAATCGCGATAAGGATGATAATATCAGGGAAGCTTTTTAGCTCTTTGCCCTCTCTTAGCTGAATCACCATCAGTTCACTCCTCAGGAGCCGTCTGCTCGGAGCAGAGAGCTTGTGCCCTGCCTTACCAGTGGACAGGAGTTCCCCTTCCTCAGCCCCAGTCAGGATTTGGTCCTGTGCCTCCTGTTAAGACAAAGGAGATGTCATCCCAACAGCACCGTAGAAGCTTTACTAGGAGAAACAGCCCAAGCTTCACTCAAATGCCATTTTATTTGCAGCTCCTACTCTGCCCTGGCTGTCCCGCCCCATACAGGCGTAGGGATGCTCGTACCGCTCCCGAAAGCTGGACCTCCCGCCGCTGTTCTTCGGAGGCCTGAGCGCGGTGGAAGTAGGAGATCGGCTGTAATTTCCAGAAAACATTGGTCTTTCTGGGAAGTGGTGTGGTCTGGTTGCTAAGGCTGAGGACTGAGACACAAAACTTCTGGCTTTTGGGGTTTTGTTGTGGTGTGGCGTTGCTCCAAGTGCTTCCACATGCCTCTGCTCTCGCCCGTGCGGTGGGAGTGCTGGAAAGCACTAATACTCGCTTGCTTTCGATTTAAGTGGGAAAGTTATTAAAATGCTTTGAAACTTTCGAATGGCAACGGATAGGTGAGTGTAAGATTTGATTTATTTGATGAGATTTTGTACAGAAATAGTCCTCTAATGTTGCACATCCTCTGGGTCAGCAGAGCTGGTGGCTTGGGAGGATGGTGGGAATCTAATTATTTCATCTGTCCAAAATAGCAACTTTTAAGAGGTGAGGAAATGACTACACCAAAACTATTGTATGCCATCTGCCTGCTAAAATACTTATAGAAAACATATTTCCTGGCATATAACTTCTTAGCCATATGTCTATTGCATCATTCACCATTAAATTAAATCACCCTTAAATACTTGGGCAAATTCCCAGTCTATATGAACAAGCTTTCATCACCGTGCTGTTTGAAATTTGGACACTTGACCCTGTAAATGTTTAGCTGAAATTGGCTCAGCTGTTGTTAACCTTATACAGCTGATACAGGCTGCTTCAAGATAACTCAAGTGCATGTTTCTTATTTTGGTCTTTAAATTTTTAACTATAAAAATCTGTTAGGGGTTCCGAAAGGAGGAAATAATTCTACAGTGTTCACTTGCAATGTGGTCAAGTCACTTTAAACAGAGGTTTAAATGGAGAGTCATATCAATGAGAAAAGGTGTTATCATCCGCTCATTGAATAAACAGACGGAAATAACGGCAGAGCCGGGTTACAGCTGGATATTCTGGATATTGGGAATACGCCTGGAGGTGTGTACACACATACCCCCAGCCAAAAAGCTTACCCACTTCACAGCACCTCTGAAACACGACTGCGAATGGACATCAGCCCGCCGAGCCCGACCTGCTCCCGGTTAGGCCGGGTCAGCCTCGTTGGGGCCCCGCTGCTGGCGGTTTGCAGGAGGGGCCCCACTGCCGCCACCCTCTGCCACGCGTCCCCCGGCGCGGAGCACGGCCGTGCCGGTGCTAGAGGCACGGCTGAGGCTCAAACCACAGAGCAGTTGGATGGGTGGAAGCGTCTCTGAGCCTCTCTTCTAAAATCCTCCGAAGACAGTGCTTTCAGCTAAAGAGCAATCTTAATAAGTAATTATTTGGGGTTTCTTTGGTTCTTCATTTGAGGATATGTCAGAGTTGCCTGTTGTGCCGTGCTTAGCTGAGGCACCAGCCTCATATGAGTTCTACGGCACGGTCCGGCGTGGAGAGTGCACACGGTGGGCATAAGTAGTAATGAAACCCTGCATCTTCGACACGGGGAACGTCATTGAAACGGGGCCCGACTTCCACTGGAAACCAAACCCGCGAGCTTCCCGTGCTCGGTGTCTGGCAGACCCGGCCATTGTCTATTTTTAGTCCATCTCTCTATTTTTAGTCTGGTTTTGAAAGGTGAAATAATACCAGCAGCCAACCCCGGATGATTCTGTTGGTTTCTTTCATTCAGGAGCCCCGAGCAACGCGGGAGGAGAATGGCAGGAAACCCGGCGGGGCGGAGGGGAGAGCCCCCGGTGCGGGCAGGAGGGGCTGGGGGGCACAGGGGACCGGCTTTTTTTTGGACCCGCCGTGGGGCTGCGCCAGCTCGTGGCCCAGAGCTCCCCCACGACTCCCGTGCTAACAAGGGGCTCAGCACGAGCTGGTTGGTTTTATTCTCTACCTACAGTTCATTTATTTCTAGTGCCAAAATAAAATTTCTAAGCATTTCTAAGATTTTTGCCTTTGCTGTACAAGAGTGATCCTGAGCCCTGTCCTGCCAGGGGTAGCTCGGCAGCTTTTCTTTACAGTGTGGTGGGATGCTGGTCCTCACCAGATGGTCTTCTGTCTTCCCAGTGGCTGATACTTTGAAATTTTGGCTGTTTATTTTTACTTGTGTTATTCTACCCAAATTCTCACTTTAATAGAAAAAAAAAAAAAATCTGTTATTCAAATAAGCCTTTGTCTCACTCTGCTTTTCTCATTTCATCTTGTGAATATATTTTCTAAACTGATATGCATGCAAACCTGTGACATGTACTGACTCATGTGTTTCCCAGCGTGTGTGCATGTGTTTGAGAGAGGAAAAAAGAGAAAATGTTTGGAGCTGTTGAAGGCAGCCGGGCTGTGTCCACACTCAGGTTTTGTACCATGTTGTAGACCATCTTTCACCACAATATTTTCGACTTTAATAGAGCTGTATAGCTCTGTCATTCAGTAATACGTTACTGAACATAATAGAAATCTTTATATAGCTGTTGGAGCACATTTCTTAGCTACAGATGTTTCCTTCCAAGAGACATTTTCCTGTCATAGAATCACAGAATGCTTTGGGTTGGAAGGGGCCTTTAAACATCATCTCATCCAGCCCCTGTCCTCTGCTAAAAACAAGAGCTGCAGGAATTCTGTAGTACCAATAAGGGTCTGTACAGGAAAGGCTATGTGGGGAATTCTTTGTACATAACACTGCCCTATCTTTTTTTTTCTGTCTTTTAATCCTTTTGCTGACTGTAGCCATATGTCTGCAGAAGTGTAACGGGGGCATCCACAAAAAAATAATACGTTGGGCAAGTGCTTCATCCCATTCCCTGGCCACCTCATTTTTGATCTCGTGCTAGCAAGGACTCCTTTAGTGACCACACCGTTTAGCTGTAGAAGAAAAGGAAGAATTCACACTTGCCTAGAGTTTAGTTTCCCAAGTGACCGTATCTTTTTTTTTTTTTTTAATCCTCAAAGGCCAAAATTGTTACTATGACATTTCTGTTGTCTTTGGTGTCCCCAGCCATAAAAATGGAGAAATGGAAACCCCAAAGTATTTTGAAATAAAAAGATAAAAATCTTTTTTTAATCACTATTTTTGGAGGTACTCAGGCCCTGTTAGGATGCATTGACTCAGCCCCGATTGCTGCCTGCTGCAGAGCACCCCTCGGCCTGCCCATTCCAGAGCTGGTCCCACGTGTGCCTGCAGTGCAGCCACTGGAGACCCGGGGCCAGGGCCAACCATTCCCACCTGATAAAGTTCAGCGCGGTAATAAAACTGAAGTCAGTGTTTCTATACTGTTTTTAAGGTTTCTATAATGCGTTTTTAATGGAAATGAGCTCCAGGAAGTTATTTATTAGTCTCGAGTCCCATTTCTGCTCCAGGTTTTACCCAGGAGTTTTTGCCTCTGGGTTTTTCTCTCCCCCAGACCTTCACTAAACCATTTCATTTGTGCTCTCTGTTTGACCGAAGCCAATTTAGTGAAGCTAATGGAGTTACTTCTCTTCAGGTCAGTGATGATCTGGCATCCTTCAGTTCCTTGCTTAATTTGCTGAGAAAATTTCCAACTCTGAAGTCAATTTTCAGAGTTCCCCCCCTTTCCACAGCACTGGCCACAGCACAGCCCGGGGACCGTGCAGGGGGCTCGCCGGTGGTGGCTGGACCTGGGGTTTCTCCACTTCTCTGCTCTCATCAGATTGTGTTTACTTTGCTTTGAGGGAAGTTCAGCAGCAGGCTCCACTGCAATCCTTCCTTCCAGCTGGAGCGTGTTGTATCCCTGCCTTCACTTGAACAGGAAAGCAAGCAGCTCTCAGGAAAGAGTTAAGGCCAGCGAGGCTTTGGGATCCTTTGCTGGGGAGAGGGTTGCTCTTTTGTTTGTTTGGAAGTGCTGGCAGGAAAGTGGGGAGGAGAAAATTACCTAAGTGATAGTGAGGTTGCCATGAACTATATAAAACTGTGAAATCGAATCGGAGAAACTCCACCTCACAGTCTTGAACCATAAGCACAACCCCTGAAGAGAAACCCACCCCACAACCGAGTGATCTCAAAGGCTTGAACCAAAACCAAGCTACATGCGCTCAGAGCTGCTGCAGGACTGAAAACCCAAGAGCTGTCACAGCCAGATCCACTTTTAGGGGGATGGAATGCTGTTCTTGGGAAGTTTAAAAATAATGAAGTGGAGGCAGCTTCTCTGGATTGCGTTCTGTGTTGTGGAGTTGTCTGGTGAGTATTGACGGCAGCGAATACCAGGGCTACAAGCACTGAGAAACAGCAGCGTGAGACTAGTGCATGGGGCAAGTTCTGTGTAACTTCTGAGACAGGAGCTGGGGGGGATGCGTTTTAGTGAGCGGTTAGGGGAGATCTTGCGATTCCACGCAAGGAGCACTGCAGTGACACGTTACAGAGCAGCACCGCGCCAGGCATCCTGGCCAACACGTTCACAGCGACGTGCTGCAACCCGAAAATGCTGCTGCTTTGAAAAGGAGAGGGGTTGGGAGCTCCCTGTAACATTACAGATAACACAAGGGGATGCAAAGGCAGCACGCAAAGCTGTAGAGTGCAGCCGCAGTTCAAGCTGTTTCTCAGTCTGCATTGGTGTCAATTAGCCTTGCTTTTGTTTTGTGGTAGGAGCTAAACATTTTCTGAAAAATCAAATGAATCTCCATAAATATTAAAATCTCCTATTCCAGCTCTTCAAATATTCATCATATGAAAAAGTGAATAATAGTACAGAGATTTTCTCTAGGTAGTACTTTTTAAAAGGTTATATTTTAGGGAAATACTATCATTTTTGTCCCAAACCCAACAACCATAAAGTAATAAAAAGGGACTAAAAAAAGTGAAGCAGCGCTCTGTGTGCTGCATAGTGTGCTGGGACAGGAGCCAGGAACCTGCGGGTGTCTCCTCAAATGTGATTTTTCCTCACTCACGTGAATGTGAGCAACTAGATCTACTGAAAGTATTTGCTGTATTTTGTTCTTCTGTTCCACGGTGCTCCTTTCATGTTCCCTTTGCTGCCAAGGTATACTGCTCACCCGAGCCACTGTGCCTGACCCTCCGGTCTATGTTAATCTTACAGGAAGGAAAAAAACAACTTTATTTGAGAGGAAATACAATTCAGAACTGTCTGGTTGGGCTGAAGTGAGGAGCAAGCGAGGGTGTAAGACAAAAGTATTTGCCTGAAATGCAAAAGCCGAGTGCCTTGTAGTACAAAGCGAAAGTGCTACAAAAGTGATAAAAAGCTTTGCTTTTGTAAAGACAAAGCTACCAGGCGACAGGGGGTTTAATGCTGCAAAACGTCATTCCTTTTGCCGGCTCCACAGCCAACGCTCCACACTTCTGCAGGATATTACAGTGCTCGATTAGCGCTTGCTGGGAAGTAGAGGAGGTTTATCTCCGTTCAATGTCGCTGCTGTGCAGAGCAGAGAAAAACTAGGGAGCTCACCCTTGGGGCCCTGCATGCTCTTCAGCCCTCTGGGGAGTCCGAGTGAGTCAAGTCAAGGTTGCAGTTGTGTAATTCCCAATGGAAATCCCAACTCTGGGAGTTGGTGCTCAGGTTGGCTCCTAGCAGTGGTGCTGGGGGTGGGATGACCAGCCTCCACCCGCCCCCCCCAGGACACCTTCAGCCAAAGCCACGTGTTTTACCGGGGCAAAAAAAAACCAAACCCCACGCCACGCTGGGCTGGGTGCAGGTCTCCTACAAACGCCACGGGTGGGCGCGGTGTGGGGAGGATGGAGGCTGGGTACCAAGTACCTGGTAACTGCAGTCCGACTCCAGAGCAGCGAGCAGCCTCGTGCAGCCTCACGGGGAGCGAATCGCATGTGAAACGCTCCGTTCTGCGCCTTGCCTGGTCCTTTGGGGACCCGCTGCGTTGCAACGAGCACGGCGGAGGTTTATGCCCGTCCCTGGTCCGCAGAGCTGACCAGTGCTCCGGGGGCCGCTCGGGAACCTGCGCAGCGGCACGATGCTGCAAGCGGTTCGTGGTGGCAAAACAGGGTCTTGATAAACCACGGGGAGAGCTGCGCTGCGCTGCACTTCTCTCGGGATGCACATGGAAAGGAGGATGTGTATTCTATCCGTACCTAATGCAAACACTTCCTTTTTTTTAACCTTTTATCATTCTTTTTTATATCTTTTTTTTATTCATCTCTGCCAAACTTGGTTGTTTGGGTTTTTTTTTCAAAAAAAATCTCTTTTCTTGTCATTTTAAAGCATTCTTTCTTTCTTTCATTCCTTTTGCAAGACTGAGAAAAGTTCTAATAACCAGGTCAGGAAAAACGAGCTGTAGAACTCACAGCCACTTGAGTTTAACATCCTTTAGAGGGCTGCACATTGTAACTGCTCAAGCCAGGAGCAACCCTCGGCACCCAGCTGCCAGAGAGGCCCCAAGCCCAAGGAAACCCTTGGTCCAGCAGCTGGGGTTTGGCGGCCGCTCAGGGGCTCCCTGGAGCCCCCTGCCCTGTGCGCCCTGCGTGACTGCGGCCCCACACCCATATCCTGTCCGGGAGAAGGAAAAGGGGGAGGGAAGGGATTTTTATCAGATATTTCCAGAGGGAAGAGGGCTCCACCCGCTTGAATTCCTGCCACATGGCTGAGAGCAGTAAGACTGGGAAGGCGTGAGCAACACAGGCTGGAGCCCTCGGAGGAGCGGCTGCGGGAAGCCGGGGCTGGCTGCAGCTTCAGAGCGCCGTGTCCCGCGGGTCCTCGCCCTCCTCTTCTGCGGGCGCTGGTACCAGCAGTACCGCGGCGCCGGCTCCCCCGCGGCGCCCTGCCCGAGCTCAGCCGCAGCCCTCGCAGCTTCTAGAGCGTCAGCTGAGCCTGGAAAAGGGCTTTGTTGGACACGCAGGAGGGTTCGAGAGAGCGTCCTGGCGCAGGCTCTGTGTCAGAGCACTGAAGGAGGCAGCCCCGTTAGCAACGGGTTTAGCAAAAGGTTTACCAAGGGGTTGGGAATGGGACAGGAGGTGCAATGGCTGCCTGGGAGAGCCCTGAGGGTTGAACCTTCCACCTTGCAGGGATGGATGCGCAGGGGAGGAACCCCCTCGTGTTTAATCCGCTGCGGGTGCAGAGTAGGGCACAAGTTATGGAAACTTTTCTTCTGTTTCCTCAACCTTTGCCACGACAGAGTTTTGCCTTCTGTGGTGCTGGTTTAGTGCTCAGGGATGAGTGTTGGACCAAGTCAACCACTTGAGCATTTATATTGTTCGGTCTTTTTATTTGAAGTATTTGAGATACTTCCTAAGCCCCATTATTAAAATGTCTTTAAAAATCAGAGGCATTTACTTTTTAAAAGCTAGGTAGGCACATAAATAGGTACTGTGAAGTACAGTTTTCTTTCATATATCTGCATGCTTTTACGCCTGCGTGCGCTAGCACTGCCATGTGAAGATTTCTCCGAGGTTAATAAATGGCTTGGCTCAAACTCTCAGACCCTTAATACTAACAAATTGACAAAGTTTAGCAAAGCTTGTAAAAACGTATGGTGCAATAAATGACCCACTTTAGCTGAGCACCATATGGATTATCCAGCCCACATCTGGATCATTATTTATCTCATGAGTCCTAAAGTTTCAAAAAACTTACTCATGTTTTCCATAAAAGTGCCGGCGTACGCTACAATAAAGGGAAGAAAAAGAAATACTGTGTGACAGGTCTTCTCACAAACTACACCGAGCAATAATCCAGGCGTCAATTTATGATATTCAGTGGTGACAAGACTTTGATTAGAAATACCTCGGGTGCTGTAGAAACATCTGGAACAGTTCAAAGGTGCTTGGGTGGCTGTGGCACTCGGGGAGGTCAAGTCCAGGCGCTAGTTTTTCTAGTGATGTAAAGTTTCCTGCTAATGTCCATGCGAACGCAAAGCTGCATGCAAAGCGTGGAGTTAACTTTGTGCTACTCATTACTCCGGGCATGCAGTCATGCCTCCTGCTTTTGATTTGCTAAAATTCAGCAGAAAAACTTGGTGATTTAACCAGTTGGAACTGAATTGTCTTGGAGAGAAGAAACTTCTCCCTTAAATAAAAGCCCTGCCAGAACTTAGATCCCAGCTCCAGACACCTGCACTGAGCCCTCGGCAGGGCCCCCGCCTCCCCAGTGCTCCCGCGCCCAGAGCAGCTGCAGCCCGGCCGGGGTGGGATGGGATGGATTGGGATGAGATGGGATGGATCGGGATGGGGTGGGATGGGATGCACCAGTGCAGGGAGCCCTACGGGGCCAGGCTGAGGTGCACTGCCCCCTCAGCACCCTCTGGTACAACCACCCACCGGCTGCAGGAGCAGCTCTGCCTGCTGCCACCCATTGCCAAAATAAACTTCAGTGATCTCGGTCTTTGCTTTTCGTAAACCGCCCAGGTTCTCTGGACCTGAGCCAGCAAAGTACTGACATCCCAACACAGAAGAATTCCTGCCAGGACAGTTCTGAAGTGCCCGACGTTGCAGTGCACAAAAACAAATGCACGTTTGACTGGCAGTGGGTGCTGCCCTGACGCTGGCGCCGGGCGGCTGATCAGGACCTGTCAGTGCTGCTCCATCTCAAAGGGTTGTTTGGAAGGATGAAGTAACGTTTCTTGGAGCTCAGGCTTCCCTGGGCAGAAATACAAACGAAAGAACATATTTTGTATGATTTTCTCTTCAGTGTCTGGATAAGAATCTTAAACAGCAACAGCCCTGGAGTAGAGACTGAAGCAGTTTGTTTAAAGTGAAAATAGATCTTAAGAACAGAAAAGGTTAAGAAATGGGAACAAATGCATTTTCACTGACTCATATAGTTCATTTCAAAAGGAAAAGCTGGAAGTGTCATCTTTGTAACGTACCAGGAAGCAATACATAAACTTTAAGTTAGACCAGCAAACCATTCTCCAAACATTCTGTTTTACCTCCAAAGATGTTTTCGCTCGTGAGTCAGAGCTGATCCCAAGCCAATGGGAATGTTTCTATTTACTTTGAGATTGTGCCTGCAACTGCAAATCCAACTTATTTTTCCTGAGGCACACAAGTGATCTCTTCCAAGGCCTGAGTCTTTCCTCCAAGGATTACAAACCCAAACTACTACGGAACTCAGCTTTGTGCAGAGCTTTGTGCATCCCTTGGTAAGCCCAAGGATCGGGCGGGACGAGGCAGAAACAAGCCTGTCCTCCTCCAGCGCCGCCCCAAGAGCCCTGGAGCCTCTGCGAGGGCTGCCCCCAAAGTTTGGTGCTCGCCCACCCAAAACGTTGAGTCTCTGAGTTTCTCCCGTGTGAGTTCTAAGGCAGCCTGCCAGTTTAGGGCAAGAA